ACTAATTTTTATATTTTTATTCCATGCACGCTAAAATCACGTGAATCATATTGCATGTTTTTTAAATTAAAAAATCTACTAAAATTCCTTCATTATACTAATTTTGTTTATAAAGATTTGAATAGTTATATATGAAGATCGAGAATATCATAAAAAAAAAAAAGACCCCATATTTCAGAACCATTGTTTGCATTTTTATGTTTTTACTCTATGCACACTAAAATCATGTGAGCCGTATTGTTATATTTTTTAAAATTAAGAAAACTAATAAAATTTTTGCATTACTCTAATTTTGTTTATAAAGATGTGAATAGTAATATATAGAAAATATTTTTAAAAAAAACCACCCTGTATGACAGAACCAGAATGTGTACAAATCGTGCCATATGTAGAGAGTTAAAAATCCAGTTCAGTCTAAGATCTAGATTGAGTATGCTAATCATGCTTAAAGAAATAATAAATTTTATTAAAAATTTAACCCATGACAAGTTTACTGAATTGGAAACTTATTTTAAATCAAAATTTTGACGTTATGGCCATAGTTGAGAGGGGCATTGCTGCTGACAATGAAGACTATTTTGACATTCCAGGATAGAAGTTTGTGTTACGATGATCAAGACAAATTGCTCCTGGTATGATAGTTTTTGTAAAACTTTCCTTAAAGGCAAAATTGGCTGCCTCCCGCCTGATGATTACCGAGGATTGAAATTTGTGCAAATAAGCATATGGAGACAAGATACTCAATTTAAAAATTTTTGTATAACCCTCCAAATAATAAACATGCTTCTGACCCATCTGGTATTGATGGATAGAATCCAGTGTGATCTAATTGATAGTTGGATGGTGCTAGGTACAAAATACTTTTTACCAGTACTTTCAGATCTGTTTCTCCCTATATGAAGCCTTGCCAGGTTTATTGGAATCTTAAAAAAGCAAACTGGCCTAACTATGAGGTCCTCACTGATGAACATATTACTGGCTCTCTGATTTTGCCAAATCTTGAATATACTTCAAAACATTTTTCACTTGTGGTTTCAAAATATGCCTCTCTTTGTATCCCAAGAGGACAACAAAAGAAATATACTCTTTTTTAGAAATGACAATGTGTAGAAAATCTAGAACGACATAGGTAAAGCTCGGGCTTGTTAAACTGGACTTGTATTGGATTAAGGCCTCGCTAGCTCTCCACAAGGCACAGGCTATTTAAAAAGATCCATCATCAAATCTAAGCCTTCTACATATAAAATTTTTTGGAGGGACTGGATTTTAGACCAGATGGCATAAGGGCTCACTTATTTTTATCATATTTTTATCTCGGATGAACAATCAAAAACAAAAGAAATGAACCTATTAAAATAGCTAACATAGAGCTTACTACTGATAAAGACATCTCAGATGCCTTTTGCAGGCACACTTTAAGTAATTTAACACCTAGTATTAAAATGAAGAAAATGGAATTGAGACCTATACAAGGCAAAAAGTCATCAAGGTTTGAAAAGCGTTTTGATACTCATTTCAGTATGGAGGAGCTGACAAATGGTCTTGGAACTCTAGAGAAGGGTAATAGTGCAGGCTCTGATGAAATCTTACCTGAATTCTTTACTAACCTTGAAATATGGAAGTTTATAAATCAAACTTGAAGAAATGGTTTGCCAAGTACTTAAAGAAAGGCTATGATGATACCAATTCTCAAACCTAAATTTGGACAGTTATCACTTAATCTCTCTAACAAACATTATATGTAAATTATGTTGTATATTTTATACCTCCAAATGTCTCAAAATGCAATTATTGTGATTTCTTTTTTCTTTATTAGCTTGTGCTCGCCTTTCAGAGCATTAAATGATGCCATCTATGTTTTTTGGGCAATCTGCCAACTTTAAGTTCTGAACTTCAGTTATAGAGTTGTAGTAATGTTGATCGCCGCTGTATTGTGAATGCTTACTTTTTCCATTCTCCTAATAAATTGTAATCCCTGTGATAAAGTTATAATTCAATTTATGTTATATGTAACAAATTAACCGAGAGATTGATTGCTAAAAGATTGTTGCTTGTGTTGCATGAAGCTGGTGTGATTTCTGAAAGGCAGGTGAGTTTTTTGAAGACATAGATATACTGCTGAACAAATATTCCACTTATCTCAAGAGATAAAGGATGGCTTTCAGAGTAAGCAAAGTACCCTGCTGTATTCATAGATTTGAAAAATGCTTTTGATAAAATTTAGAGAGCTGGATTGCTTAAAGACTGATTTCCTGTGGCATTTCTGGCAACTTACGTAAATGGATTAAAAGTTTTCTTGACCAAGGATTTATAAGTGTTAAATATGGTCAAAAGGTGTTGGGTTATTTATAAACAAAACAAGTTTAGCTCAGGAAGCAGTACTCAGTCATGTTCTTTTTAATATTATGATAAATACTTTAACTGCCAATATATATAGATTTGTCCCAGGCATTAATATTTATTTGCTGATGATATGGTGTTGAGTGCTACCAGGTCTGACGTTGTTTGCCTGGAGAGTGTCTTACAACAGGCCTTAAATGTTCATAATACCCTGAGCACATGAAAATAATATAGTAGTAAACACTGAAAAAAACTACCTTCCAGTTGTTCTTCCTTAGCATTAAGTACTTGACCTAATAATAGTCACCTTCATTATAATAATAAAGATGTAAACAGATCATATAATACTATTTACTTAGGGATTCATTCAGAACCAAAATTATCTTGGGAAAAAACAAGTAAATGCAAACACTGATCGAGGACATTTGAGATCTAAGCTACTTAAATATGTGGCTGTTATTGCTTGGAGCTTGTCACAGTATGTTTTGTGTACTATAACAGCAGCTATACAGCTTATAAAAGTTAACGTACGTTCTGCTGTTGAATATGGTAATGAGGTTTCTATTACTGCCTCAGATTCTAATAGAAACACGCTTGATATTTTCCAAAACAAAAGTGACTAATCACTGGTGGTGCAAAACCAACTCTTATTGTTGCTACGGAATTAGATGGATTTGGAGCCTTCAAGGAAGGTACCAAAGGAGTGATATGAATCTTCTTAAAAAAGACCTTAAGTAGAAAAGAATTTTTTAAAAATATCTATAGATCAGCAAGTGAAAGACTAAAGACTCATAGATCCTTCTTTTCGACTGTATATGATCTTTATGATATTTAGAATATTCCTACACCCAATCATCAACCTTTCTTATAGGAGTGGAATCCTGTTTTAAATTTAGACAAGATGTAAAAACACCTGGATCATGTTTAAAATGTCAAATTGGACAAACATTTTTCCACTCTGATCGAGTTAAAAATTGCTGCTCTGGCTACTGTACATTACAAGTACCCATCAGACACGTGGTTCCATGTTTACACAAATAGTTCAGCAGAAAATGCAATAAAAAATGCCAATGCTGGAGCCTGTTCAAGTAATTTTAGTCCTGTTGGGAAGTACTGTGACAATTTTTATGGAGAGGTAGCAGCTATAACATATGCAATTGATAAATTAAAAGATAGCCTAGATCAAAATATTGTTACAAATTTTGTTAGCTATTTTTAGTAGAATTATAATTAAAATTGTTCTATTCCCCCATGCAATGCAGCACTTGATAAATTTTAAGAGAAAGCTACTCAAAAAAAGCAAAAATATAAGAGCATGTGCATTTAACATTAAATAAATAAATATTTCTTTTATTTGTATTGAAATAGAATACTATGTTACCTATAACGGTAATTCTACTGTTTTGCTTTCCAGAAATCTCGAGAAGCAAAGAAATTACTAGAACTCTCTCGTGACTGATTAAAAAGCTATAAAAGGCAAAGGAAAGAATATCTCAGCTTAGTTATTGTTAATGCGATTTGTTTAGCTTTCTCTTTGAACTGCATTGTATTTTAACGTTTTTAGTAGTTTAAACTATAGTTAATGGTTGTATTGTGCTCTATTTCACATATTTGTGTTCTACTTATTATTAGTGCTTAATTTTGTAAACACTTGTAAAAATATCTCTGAGGAAAATTCCAGCATTTTGTTATAATTGTGATAAGAATAAATTTTATTAATTTTTTATCGTACTTATACATTTAATCGATTACAAACCTGTACGCACACAACATTGTGTTTTTTATTAATTCATAAGCTGCTATTTTGTCACTTATCAATTCTAACTATAATGAAATTGTCCACGTTCATTCTTGTTAAATGAAATGTTTTGAGCTAAGGGAAAACAGAAGGAGCATTGCCAGTCAGTGGATTCCGAGCCATTCTGATACTTTCGAAAACGAGCAGGCAGACAGACTTGCCAAGGTCATATCCCTTATGGCCTAACCCAATTCCCCTTTGCCTCTGCATAATATTAAAATAATTATTTATAATAAAATGAAAAATAGCTGAATATCCTTATATGCTGATGTGTCAGTGGATAAGAAGTGTAAGGTCCCGCTCAACAAAAGAAATAAAATCCCCAGTTCCTTATCTCAGGCTGTTGGAGTTGCTTGCTTTCATTTGACAACTGGCCATGATTATTTACGTCGGATGGAGTTTGTTGCCCTCTGTGTCGCCAAGGTGATATGGATGGTGACCACCTCAAAGAAATCATGTATTATTTTAAAGTTTTTTACTGCTTTTTCTATATTCTCATAATTTGATTGGGCTGCTCGTTGACTAATGGCAGAAATGCCAAAGACGAGTATACGATTAAAAAAAAAAAAAAAAGTGTTCATTTTTAAGTACAAGTATTTTCAATGGAAATATTATTTTATGGTCATATAAAATTAATTTATGGTTGAGTTGCATAATATTTTGCATTAGATTATCATTTGCATTTTTATTGACTTTTGAAAATATCCAGTGGAAAAAGTAAAACACAAATTTAGTTTTGAGAGCAAAATATAAAAGATATGTGTGTCTGAAGTACTCTGTAGTTGTTTGTAATGACTGACTAATGTTTCTGCCCCTTTTTATTTGTATGGAATTTTATTCATTCAATGAAAGATAATTTCAGGAATATTCCATGGATGCTCACCATGAGAGGTTAAATTTTCAAATGACTAGGATATCAGAGGTCAACCAGTATTTGAATGCTTTAATGGAATCTTCAGAAAAAGTAATTGCTTCTTTGAAATATTATTTTTTGTTCTTTATACATAAAATTCGAAAGTTTATCTGATTTTGTATTTTATACATTAATCTACAATTTGAAAAGAATTATATAATATTTAGTAAATCTGTAGTATAATAAATTTGGGAAGTAGTGAAACTGGCAGTTAATCTAATAAAAAATCTGATGTGTGCACCACATGACTTCCTTGTACGGAATATTAAATTATACTCATTTTTTCTTGCATTTCATTTAAACTTGTTGGATTGAATTAAATCTACTTCATCAATAGAATAAATGCATTCTTTAAAATTCACTATATTTATTTATCATAGTGACACTCTGGCCCTAGGTTCACTTAATAGCATTACATTTCGTTCATTTTTTAATTCAGAATGCACAAAATATATATCATCTTAAGAATTATCTAATTGTGCCACGTTATCACATCTATATAACTAAATATGTATAAAGAACTTAAGCAAAGAACAACAACAACAAAAAGAAACACTTTTACACAGACAATTCAGTATTTCTCATTCAATTAATTTAGTTCTCACTTCGCAAAAAGGCAAAAATACATTAAAACTCAAGATGCTCTATTGAAAATTCTGAAGTAAAGCTTAAACACTTATTTCCTCGAATAAATTCCAGAATGGATTAAGCATGATTTAATTCACAATAATAAAATCACAATCTTTGTTATTGCGAAGCTTACTTTCTCTAGATTGGCAACAAATCTGCTATTCTGCTGTTTCCAAATGTAAACAAGCAGGGTGCCATGGAAAAATTATTAGGCTTAGCGGCACTTAAACAACTATTAAATTGTTGATAATTCTAAAAATATTGCCTACAGATTTACTAAAGGCATAAACACCTTAACTGGAAGATAAGAACAACATAATTCAATCATTTTTAAAGCAAAAAATGCACAATTTAAAAACATATAAGAATAAAAAAAAACTGAGATCACTGAGCCGAGTAACAAAGTGGATATATATATGTGGGAAAGGTTATGTCATGATATTCCCTAATCCCCTACTGTGTGACGTATGCATTGTGTCAGCACGTGTTTCCCGCCTTCGGGAGAAGAAGAAGATTAGCTGGCGAGCGAGCAGACTCGCGATCGCTCGTATACCATTTTCATTAATTGTAATCCTAATGTAATCTGTATTTGTAAATAGTAATAAATGTCGTTATCACTATGTCGTTGCCTCCCCACGTTTTGGGCTCGAGCGTGCATTCAGCAACGTACATCTCCGTAAGGACGCAAAACACAAATCTCTAAAGTGCAAGATGAAAATCGCCGTATTATAATTTGCGACAAAAACAGCACAAACTTCAACTTCATGACCTCGTGGCTATCAAACGAACTCAGTTTGGCCTGGTTTAAAACTCAAACAGAAATTTCTCGACCTTATAGTCACCGGCTCAAACAAAAGACACATGATTTGGAAAGTGTGCATTTTTCGACGGACCATCCAAAATATCCACTTGTGCTGATACATGAAGCCCTGGTCCAACATATTGAACGTATCACTTGATTTTTATTAAACTGTCAGCATTATAGGTCCTTCTGTGTTTGGACAGATGACACCTGAGAACTTTCTAATATTTCCTCATATCAACTTTCTAATTCATTTTGTCATACTAATGTTCTTTTTATTTTTAGTTAACTGCGTGGTGTGTTTAATCCATTTTTTGTGCTCCATTTGTGTAAGTATCCTCAGCTTTGTATCCACAGATTATTTTTTTCTCATACCTATGTTGCTATATTATAATATTTTTTTTTATTTGATGATATATTATGTTGCTTCAGGCGAGCCGCCTGTCCCCATGATGGCCGAATGGGAAAGGTTATGTCATGATTCCCTAATCCCCTACTGTGTGACGTATGCATTACATCAGCATGTGTTTCCCGCCTTCGAGAGAAGAGGAGGATTAGCTGGCGAGCAGAGCAGACGTCGCTCGTATACCATTTAATCCTAATATAATCTATATTTGTAAATAGTAATAAATGTGTGTTATCAACTATGGTCGTTGCCTTTCCCCACATATATTTATATACTTTTGTGCGGCCGATTGCAATCAAAATGCAAGGTGCACATCTACATTTCATAGCAGTCCTATATACAAAATTTCAACTTTCTGAGGTTTCTCGTTTTTGATTTGAGTTATGTGAGATATTAGGTAAATAGGTACAGATGCCACAAAAAAAATTTCTTCAGAATTCATTTAAAATCATTTTTATAATTTCTTGGGGGGAAAAGGTCCTTTATTCTTATGCATGGATGTCACAAACATAAACATTGTTAAATTGCATTCGATAGCGGTGAAAATGGATATTTGCGTTGAAATATGATGCCTAAAACTTTTTGCGATTACAATACTTCCTTTTTACTTTGTACAAGGAAGTAAAAATGCAGGATGTTTCTTAATTCATGCAGCAAACTTTAAAAGATAAATGAGTTTATTTCAGATACCAAATCAAACATTTTTCATAGTACAATGTATTAGGAAAACTCTAAAGTAGGAAATAATCAGAAGATAAAACTCTATGCATTTTACAATAAATGCTCATTAGAGTGACCATCAACTGTAATATAAGTTCATACAGCGAGTTTTGTAGATTCCAAGAAATGCCAGTCATCTTGTGGAAAATGTTGAGAAATACCAAAACTTGAATAAAAATATTCTTTTATACTTATTAGTTAAAACTAAATACTTAACAGCTGAATAAAAGCTGACTGCACTCGTTGAGAACCCACTTGTAGGAAATAGCGGCAGTGAAAGTTTGGGAATAAGATTTTCAGGAAATCACTAGAATTCTTATACAGAAGGCTTTTCAGATGTTTCTATAAGAAATCCAGATCCAACAAAATTGGTGATTATGGCAGTTAACACTAGAAGGACTGAAACTTAGTATATACCTATACTGCCCCAAAGCAGTAAAAATGACTGCATTGTGAAAGAATAACTAATGTGTAAAGAAATTTGTTTAAAATTAGTTTTTAATATTATTTACTTATCAGTAAGTATTAACAATAAAAAAAAATGTGTTTATATGTTGTACAAAAAGCCACAAAATTATAAGTAGCTGTGTCATTATATACATAATCGTTTTTCTAATTGGAATTGAAAAGCAGTCAAAATGGCTTCCTTAGACAATCTAGTTAAGCAACGCTATAGTATAGTAGTTATAGCAGCTATGTAGCTAAGATTCACCTCGGCCTTCAAACACAACATTCAAATAATATTAAAATGCAGTGGCACTCAATCATGCTGAAAACACACTTTATGTCAGAGAGATACTAGAACATCTTGTAGCAATTTCAGTAAGACTCTTTAGAAAAATGCATCTAAATCATCCTTGATAAGAAATAAAGCCGGATAAAAAATTTGTTAGCCAAAATTCTGCCAGAGAATTATTGCTAATCAGTGTTGTGATCACATTGCATGCGGTTTCACGTTTTCCTGAATATCGGTATCGAATACTGCATTCTGTGCAGAAGTAGCTTTATCCATGAAAAGTGCATAAACTAAAGGATAAATTCATTATGGTAAGAATAATAATTGGTGCTCTAAACATAAATTCACTACAAATGATAAGGGCATAACTGTTCCCTATGAAAATTCTCTATATCATCCTGTGCAAGTGATTTAATGAAGTAAATGCACAACCATGTCTTAATTAGTTCTTTTCCCACTGTATACAAGTATATAAATTTTTATATGGCATTAATTTATGATGAAGTAATATAGCAATTTTTTTCCTGCTATTTAGCTTTCAGTATTAAGCAAGTAATTTTAAATATATAATTTTATTATATATCTTTAATTTCTAAGGACTAATCTTAGAATATTAGCTGAAAATTGCTTCAAGCATTAAACTGAAATGTGTATATTAAAGTCAGCATTGCAATTCCTTTTTTAGTTTTTATGCTGACTTTTTAAACCTCTTAGAAACTTTAAAAATTAAAATTTACCTGTCCAAAGCTTTGCATTGTACAATAGAACCCCCTTCTAATTTTTTGTCTAAGCTTTTTGTAGGGGTTCATTATCCCTATTCATTTGAATTGTAATGATGAACACAATAGCTCAATAATTTATTAGTAAAGTACAGGGATGTTATTATTGTTTTATTATTACCTGAATCATTACTATGTACGCATTTATTGTCAAAGATGTCTTGTTTATAATTTAAAACTTATATATAAATACACATCAATGATTATGCAAATTCTCTAAATTATAAAATTTAATGCAATTAAAAATTTTGTTTTTTGATGATCAATAATTATCTTTGGATTAGTGTATAATTGCACACATAAAATTTTTAAATGCTGCACAATAAATTCTAAAACTAATAATATATTCCTTTTATCTCAGGGATTTCCAATTCATATGAATCTGGCTGTACATCAGCGAAATATTTATGGAGAACAAAAAACAGCAACTCAGACAATACAGCGTTTAAAATCTCAGAACCATGCTTTGACTGAGGTAATATATATATATTTTTTTCATATTACAGTATTGTACTACGTATAAAATTTAGTTGTTTTCCCTTTTAAATCCAAATATGTCAGCTTTATAAAATTAAATTTCTGCTTCAAGGATTTTGTGCAGATTTCTAAAAATTTTTATTCAATATATATATATATATAACTTTATATTTACTATATATAAACATGTTCTCATGTGAAATTTTTCTTCAATTTACTTTTATTTCATACCAGCATCTCATGGTAATAACATTAATTGAATCATGCATGTGGATAGCCGACAAGGGCAGGAATCTTTTGCAATTTCAAATTGTTATTAAATAAAAATAAGTTTACATACATATGTGCTTAATTTTAAATCTTTTGTTCATCAGAAAGTTAAAATATATTTTCTGTATATATATATCCAATGCATGTTCATTGTTTTATTTAGGAAATAGCAAAAAAAAGTGAAATGATAACACAATTAGAAGCGGAAAAATCTGCACTTGTACGAGAACTGTTCCATGCTCGTACTTACTCCAAGAAAGAACCAAATGATACTACATTATGGTAGTCAAGTGTTCACGTATATTTTTTGTATAGTATAAATTTTAATGTTTTATTTTGTTTAATAAAATGTCTATTTTATTGTTTGATTGTCTGGACTTGAAAATAACTACTTCAACAATTAGAATTAATTTTTATTCAGACAAGATTTATGTATAATTTTCATAACTTTTTGGCTTATAAATTCATCAAATGTACTGAATCACAAAAGTAAAAAATTTATATATATATTAAACACATATTCAAACATACTTTATAAAAAGATTTAAAAAAATATGTAAATAGTCAAAACGTTTTTTAATCATTTGATGTAATATCATCGAAAATAGTCTTTGTCCAGAAAGTTCATAGACTGATACTGTTTTTCTCCACCTGGACACAGGAATATCATACAAATATTCTTTATCTTCAATATGTCTCTTTTTTTTTAATTATATCTAATACAAATAAAAACTTTTCCATTTATATGTACTTTTACAATTGAGATGAAATGCAATATGTTAATATAATCAGCAGTTATTGTTAAATTTTTTATCAAATTTGAAATGAAACTTCATAAAATATAGAAGCAGAGATCAGAGAGTCAATGATATAGTGATCAACAACATTCAAATGGGTTTAAAAGCTTGCAAGAGGGTCTTTAATGTGCTTACCAATGAAGAATCACCGAAGTGGGGTCTTGTATGTAGCTTGATTAATGACCAACTGCAGGAATGATTATTAAAGAATTAAATTTAGATAAAATGTATGTTCCTATAACTTTATTCAAGAATTTGTGAATGGGGAAAAACTATGTGCAAAGAAAACTATGTTAAAATGTTTGATTTAATAAAAATAATAAGAGTGAAAAAACTGCTATTTTAGTAAACACTCTAAAAAAATCACTGCCACATCATGATTTTCTTTATCAGGTGATGAGTCAGGTTCAAAATTTATAATTTTAACACTCAATGTCTCAAAGTAAAAGAATGGAAAATAAAAGCAGAACCATTAACCAAAGGATCCCAAAGATGGAGATCAAGAGTCAAAATCATAATCGTTGTTTATTATTGTTATTATTCATGGGAATGTGCACAATGAATTTTTCTTATAAGGCAATTTATAAATACTGCCTATTATGTGAATACTTTGATATGCCTAGTACTCTATATACGTGACCAAAATTGTTGGATGGAAGCAGATTAATTTTACATTGTGACAATATGCCATTAGCTGTTCATGAATTCCTGGTCCGTAATTTAATCATTATGCTAAAAATTCTTTCTTTTACTACTAATTTAACTCTGCATAACTTTTTACTGTTTCAAAAAATCAAAATGGAATTGCAGGGGTAGTAGCATTTAGAATACACGGTAAAGCTCAGGACCAAAATAACAAAGCATTAAAGACTGTCAGAAAAACACTATAGAACTGCTTCCAACAATGCTGATTATACTGGCAAAACGGCATTAATAGTGCAGTTAATTATTGTCAAAAATGTGTTGATGTACATGAAGAAAGTCGAATAATTTTTAATTACTTTGCCCATGAACTTTCTGGAGACTACATAATTTGTTTACTAATAATTTATACAAATTCAAAATACACAGTAACACACTTTTATACAGTAATCCAAGGTAAATAATATTTTAAATTTAATAACTTAACATCATTTCTATTTCATTTATTATACAGTAACAACTTAACATAATCCGACATTTTAATAGAGGGAATTTCATCTCTTATGTTTCACCCATATGGAACTATATATTAATTTTTATACTTCCATTGAAAGATATACAGCTGTTATACAAATTCAAAATACATAGTTAAATATCAACTTCCAGATGCATAAAATAAGATCATGGTTTTTTTACAATCTGGAAAGATTTACTGCAAAAGTAAATGACTTTTTTTTTTTTTCTAATACAAATTGCATAATCGCAGATATTTGTTTTAAAATGCAAATTTCCTTTATTTTACATGGACCAATAGCAACTAGTAATATCTATCAGGCTTAGAATTAGAAATTAAGAATTGTCCTTCTCTGTAAATAGTCCATCTTTTCATTTACTTCAAAACATATCCATAAAAATTAAATCCACTTTGAATATATAAATAACGAATACATGACTAGACACATGCTCATGAAATTTAGATGGTTAAAAATTAATATTTAAATATTTCAAATAAGAGAACCCAAATTTTTCTGAAAATCAGATATTTGTCACTTTCTTTAACTCAGAGCAAGTATAGTATTTTCATGTAAAATTATTTTATTCTTGTAAATCCTCAAATTTCCAAATATTAATAAATCTGGCAATCTAATTTTTGATTTATTCACAATTTTAAAATTAATAAACTTAAAATGAGGTAAAATTATGTAATTATCATCTTAAAATGAGGTAGATAATTAAATTTTCAGAAGTTTTATAAGATATGGGAGAAAATTAAATGTTCTGTTTGTGTATTAAAGATCCTCAAATGAAACAAGAACAAAAAGTTAAACATTTTTAATTCCTTTAGATTCTAAATATACCATTTACTACAAGAAATTTAAATAACATTTAGTGAGGGATATTCATAAAAAAACCTCTGTCTTTTAATAAAAAAGATATAGCACAATGTTTAATGCTCCTAAAATCCCAGATAGCTACCCTAATATAAAAAGTACTCATGCCCAAACCTTATTTTCTCAATTATAATTTTAAATGCATCGCTGATTTTGAACCTGGATTCTTATCTTTGTGATATGCTTTAATGGCTGGGCACATTTTGACATGTATATACATAAAAGCACCGGTACAAATGCTAATGAATATATATATGTATATTATTGATGATTTTGATGCATATATTACTGATGGGTTAAAATTTAGAAGTTTTAATGCAATAATTATATTAAACTCTAATTATTATAATTCTACTGAATTTGAGCTTTCTTAAAGTAGTTGACTAGATATAATGGCATCATTATTTATTATCTTAGATAACTGATTATACAATATAGTAAATATATTAATATTGTAAAATGAATTTAATTCATTGTGATCGAGCACTTTTTATTTCACAACTTGTAGAGCTTTTGATTACCCCCCCTACAATCTTAAATTAAGAAATCTATCCAAAACTTGTATATTCAGTTTCATATTTTGAGATATAAATTGGACATATTTATATGGTATGAAACAATATCATAATAAGCTTCAAAAATTGCCAACACCTATTGTTACTCTTGCTTTTTCACTGTTTTTCTCAGAAACACCATTTCTAATATTTCCAATGATGATTTTGCTCTTTAGTTTTTACAATGCATGAAATTTTCACATTTACTTATGAAATAATTATTTCAAAGACTTTGAATGACATCATATTCTTCAGATTATTACATTTAAGGTCTTTTAATGTCCAAAAAGTGAATATGTAAGTTTTTGTAGTAACTTGTATATTAAATATAAACAAATAATTTAATTCCTACTTGTCAATTAACAACATATTTGGTGGTTAAAATTTTGGAGACATTAAAAAAAATTCTGGACAATTTAATATTTACAGGAATAAATAGGTTATATAAGCAATTTATTTTTAAAAAAGGTAAATAAAATTATTATTTGCATTCCAATAAAAGCGATGAAACATGAAACATCCAAATTTATATTTTAAATATTTCTATTTTCACCATATTTAAAAAGTAATTTATTGGAAAAATTTTTTTGACTATATTCAAGAAATTGCTCCACAATTACTTTTTTGAAAAAAATATATGAATATTTCTATATCAATAGTAATACTGAATTTGCCATTGCTAGTGTTGGTAATTGTATATGATTTCAAAATCTTACAAAATTGTTTTGTTGCACTTTAGAAATATTAAAATGTTATTCATTATACTATGTAGTATTTTTAAGAATATAAAATATAATCAAATTACAAATTGCTACTTAAAATAGTTCAGGAAAAATGTAAATTTTCAGCAAGATTTTTAGAACCGCATAATTGTGTAGTATATTTTGTAAGCCTGGTTATACTGATAAAACCTAAACCATCACAGTCTCATATACAATATATAAAGTATATTAATATATTGTGGTTTGATATGAAACTTGATAAAACAGAAAAATTTAGTGGTTTCCTTAATTGCTCAAAAGATGTCATCAGCTATTAAAAAACATTTCAACATTTGAATTATGTCATAAGTAAATTTACAGAGTAGATTTAACCACTTGTGCTTTTGCGACGCACGCCGAGATGCTTTTGTCTCAAACCGCGAGCGACGTGAACACCACGTCGAGGAGCAACGTAAATGAGACACTTTACCGCTTGTTATATTGTAGCACATGGCACCGCAACTGTGAAGTTTAGTCGTAGCGCAAGTGGTTATCTATAAAAATCATTCGAATTAAAAAATTTGCTAAGTGACAGAAAGAAAAAGAAAAGTCATTCGAAATATTTGGTACTAGAAGAGCTCAGAGGTTTTGGGGAAAAAGAATGACATTTCAAATTAATGATTTTACTAAAGGGAAGCTAAGAACCACAATAAATTTCATTCCTACTGAAGTTGAGCATAGGGAAATTCATGACAGACTTAACAGTTGTTTTAGAGAAATTACACATAGGACAGTCAAAGAGTCATTGCAGAAAAGAAAAAAGAATTAAAAAGGTTTATGCCTGTACCAGGCAGAGTTGGAAATTAAACTATAACGATTAATCCCTATTCGCAAAATTTTCATGGCCATCAATCAAAACAACATATCTGCAATGCTGAATTACAAGACTGCTCCATTGCATCATGACATGCATCCCAATTCATAGACTAAAATGCATTCACACAATTTCCCTAGATCGCCTTTTACTGCACTGAAATTTTCTAAAGAATAATCCACTTAATTCACAAAAGTAATTTTATGAAATACAACTGTGGTTATAAAATGGCTTTTTGTGAAGAATTTGGATTACCTCAAATTTTGTATCCAAAATTTTAATAATCACCTTTTTGCAATGAAAAAGACTTACAAACTGAAATATATCCTTTTTCTAATGTACTCTGAACAATCAATACAGCCACTTCTTTTAAATGTTTCACAAAATATAAGTACAAAGCTCTTTAAATATGGTAAAGTTTTTTTCCATGAAGCATATATCATGAGTATTACATTTTAAAATTTTTATGTACAAATATTTTTTAGCACCAAGAAAATATGAAAAAAAAAATCTGGTAAAAGATAATTCATAGATGTCGGTGTCTTACGCTTCCAGCTACATTATAGTTCAACAAATCACTCGCTGTACTTTTGTTAGATAAAAATGACAAGCCATCACTAGGCAATGGTGATTCCACGAAAGGTAAAAACCACACCATGTGCCATCGCTGGCCAAGACTTTCAACTAAGTTGTTTTTCCACCCTAGATCATAATCACGGATATTTTCAATGCGCTCATAAGTTGTCTGATTGTGCAACATTTGATTCAAATGAAAAAAGAAAAAATAAGTAACACACAAAACTCCAATAATTGATAACAGAGACATCAAAGTACATATAAATACTCTGAAGCTCAGATAACCCAATATCCAAAATATAAAAGGCACAAAATGAGCTCCAATTGAAAAGAAAGAAAAGCCACCTAGAACATTCCAAATAAAATACATATTGAACAGCATTGCATACATAGCACCCAAAGACAGATAGAAAAGAAACAGCAAGAAATATCGAAAATTTTTCAGCCCAATACATCGACCAGCAAATGCACAATGATGATCTCTCTTTAATATGCATATTTTACATCTATCACAGTGAAAAGAACGAGGGGGTGAGTTGGCTTCACAAACATAACAGAAGTACCAACCAGGTTTCAATAATGATGGCAAAATTATCTTTCTTGTTGTTGTATCTTTTAAGATGACCATAGCCAAATTGCTCAGTATATTGATGAAAACAAATGTTCCCAGGAATACATGAACAGATAAAGGAATATAACCTTCTTCTGCAACTGGTAATACAATAAATAATTCAAATATAAATTCTGATATCACACATGTCAGAAGAAAAGCAAATGAAAAACCATCAGAAAAAACGAATCTCCATCTTTTCATAATCATTGCTGAAAAGGAAAAAAAAAAAAAAAGTTAATTCCAATGAATTAATAAAAAAAATACTATGTTAGTATAATCTTTTTTATGTACAGCAACATTTGTGAAAAATACAGCATACACTGAAATTCCCCCAAAGACAATGATTTTCAGACAGTTTAGTTCTTCCCAGGGCTGTGGAATTGGTAAGGAAAATGACAGACTCCGATTCATGGAATTTTAATGACTCCAACTTCGACTCCTTCATATATATGTAAACAT